ATTTCACATCACATACCCATCTATTCATCTACTAGTAGTGTAGTTGCTACCACCATACCTTACCTATATACCTCATATGATACCTAGGTATATACTCAGTAACAAGACATGATATAATAAGACATGATATAACAAGACATGATATGATTTAACAAGACATGATATAACAAAATATGATATAACAAGACATAATATAACAAGACATGATATGATTTAACAAGACATAATATAACAAGATATGATATAACAAAATATGATTTAACAAGACATGATATGATATAACAAGATATAATATAACAAGACATGATATAACAAGATATGATATAACAAGACATGACATAAAAGACATAACAAGACATAAAAGACATAACAAGACATAACATAATATATACCTACCTACTAGGTAGGTACCTACCTAATCACCTCATCAATCTTACAAATCCATCATACCATTCCATTTCAAATACCTCCCTCACCTCAACCTCAATCCCAATCCCAATACAATCCCAATCCCAATCCCAATACCAATACATTCCCAAACCCAACCCAATCCCAAAGTCAATCCCAATAGTAATAATAATAGCAATAGAAATCAAATCAAACCAAATCACCCATTCATATCCATAATTCAATCCAATCCTCTCCATTCCATCTCTCCATCTCTCCATCTCCATCTCTTCCTCTCCATCTCCATCTCACCCCACCCCACCCCCACTCCACTCCATAAAAAATCAAAATCAATTCAAGCAATCGAACGAACCCCTCCTTTCCTCCCCTCCTCCCCTCCTCCCCTCCTCCCCTCCTCCCCTCCTCCCCTCCTCCCCGCATCCAAAGAAGAAAATCTACCGGTACATCTACGATATCTACCTACCTAGGTATTCCTCAACATCATACATCACATCACATCATATCATACACCCCGCAAACATCTACATACATACACCCCGCAAACATCTACATTTATATATACATACATACATACATAATATTCATCATGACCACCCAAGCCAAAGCATTTCGCGAACTGATTGGAGTTTCACCATCTACTGCTTCCGTGCAGGATAGTGTATTAATCATTATTGATGCGCAGAATGAGTATGTATTTGATTTCAATTGCAATTTCAATTTCAATTTCAATCTTTCCTCTATTCCAATTCTCTTCTTTCATATTTGAAATATCCATCAATCCATCCATCCATCTTCCTCTCCCCCACCCACAAAAATCTACTAACCACTCCACTCCACTCCCCTCACAGATACGCCCAAGGCCATCTCAAAGTCTCCCAAGTAACCTCTTCCCGCAAAGCCATCTCCTCCCTCCTCGAAAAGTACCGCGCGGCCCATGGCTCCCTCGTCCACATCCTCCACCAAGTACCCGCAGGCGCTCCTGTCTTCACACCCGACACTGAGCTTGCTCAGGAATTCGAGGAGCTAACGCCGCAGAAGGATGAGAAAGTGATTGCGAAGCAACATCCTGGGTCCTTTACCGGAACGGATTTGGACGCGTACATTAAGGAGACGGGAAAATCGAAGCTGGTGTTGACGGGATACATGGCTCATGTGTGTGTGAGTACGACGGCGAGACAGGCGGCCGAGAAGGGATATGAGGTTTTGTTTGTGGAGGATGCGATTGGAGATCGAGATATTCCGGGCGTGAAGGCGGAGGAGTTGGTCAAGACAGTTTTGGCGGAGTTGGCGGACGCTTTTGGTACGGTGGTGAAGTCTAGTGAGATCAATTGAGATCTTGGAGTCTAATCTGAATTATATACTCTGAACATTCTGGCATATCTGAAGTATGTTGCTAGTGAGAGTTCGACTTCAATTACACCCCCTCTCAAACAGTTGGTTTATTCCGCCAGTATATCTTTGTATCCGAGAAATCATGTCGAAGTTGTGGGAAATTCATGATCTCGCAATCTTTGATCATATCATCTAGATGTTGTCCGAGGGTTTCCGTTTTGGATCTGCGAAATGTCAACATCTGGCAATAAATATATGCCATATAACTTACAACCACAGATTTGAAAAGTTATCCACATCTGTTCCTATGAGAATTGCAGGTCGAGGTCCTTGACTGATAGTTTTATAGACTGGTCCATAGCAATGTATCGCATATACAAGAGTATCCTCTTTGATATAATCAAATGCCAAAGGATCGTCCACTACTTTTCCACCCAAAGATGTGAAGAACTCCTTGTCGCCTTCGGTATTTTGAGGGTCTTGAAATATGCATTGTATCTTATCCTCACCCATACCACCTAAAGTGTTATTAGTCCTAGTATCTCCCACCTGCGACTCCCAACACAACTCACCAAACTCCTCGATAATCATCATCAAAGCGGCCAATTGAGTATAACTACTCCTCCTCCCCTCTCTCCTCGCACTCTGCAAACTTCCCAATCCCAAACAAACCACACTATTCACCTTGCCCCTCCCACGTAAAATCTTCTTCAACTGACCAGCTGCCTCACTACTCTCCCACTGCTTCCTGTAACTTTCCAAATCCGCCTGCATCTCCTCCATCGTGCGCTCAATATACGCAACCCCATCTTTCACAAAATCGCCCGCATGCGTCCAGGTCTCTGCAGCTCCCGTCTTCTTCCCTCCACCCACAACGTGGGTCCAGCCCTCTCCATCCTCTATCTGTTTCCTCTTAGTCGACTGCGCAATCTTCTTCGTCTTCTCCGTCTCTTCTCCGGGTTCCCTCGCTCCACTCTTCTTTTTGCGATTCGTATGCGGCATTGCGGGTTTGTCTGTTCCGATCCTATCCTATCCTACCCGTCTCTCTCGCAACCCAGAAACCTCAAAATCCAACGTAAGCAATCTTGCAGAAACCCCGTATCAAGCGATCAGGTAGGTAAGCCTCAGCCCGTCGGGTATGACCAAGTGTAACCCGCTGCGCAAACGTGCAAGTTTGAAGAAACGCAAACGCCTGGGGTTATCTGTAGACCCGTGGGACAACACAGTCAGCCACGGGAAGAAATACTTTTGGGTTTGAATCGCTGGTTGGGCTATATGTTTGAGAGTTGGATATCTGGGCTGGATGACTGCGGAGAGCATGCGTACGTCTTCAGCTTTTACGATAAAAATTACGGAATGTGGAATTTGGGGAAGGGGAATTTTGAAGGTCGATATTTTGGAGGGGAAAAATGTGTTGCAGGGTTTATTTTTAGATAATGGGATTATCTACGATGTGATATGAGAGTACCGGTGTCAAATGGAGGGGCAGATCATAGGTAGCCCTGGAGGTAGGGACAATCAAAAATATGGCAGAATAAATTAATAAACTGCACCGCCTTTTTTGAAAGCGATATTACAAGCTCAATCAAGCCGCTGCTGCCCCCATGATTTTTCATATCTGTTGGGGTCCGTTCACATTTGATAGAGTTTGTTCTTGGGGTCCCTAGGTAGTAATTAACATGAAAAGCCGAGGATGAAAGTCGTCATTCCATTGCGATGATCCAATGATAGACAGACCATACAAGAGACTACCTAGGTATATCTTTCCCAACTTCAGCTTCTTTCCGCGCTTCCTCTTACCGATGTGATACCATGAGACGTGAGAACGTCTAGAGTTACGATATTCATATATTCATGGGGTAAGTCCGGATTTTGACATCATCGTGGTATGGGAGCACGACGTTTACATCTATCTCACTGGCATGTCACACCTTACCGGAGCTCCATGCAACGAAAGGGGATACAAGATGCTGGATGCTGATTTGCAAGACGTGGATGGAATAGATGTTTGACCCTTGCAGAATTGGTATACGTATTCTGTGTCTATCTTCGAAATCTTGAATCGAGAGAGAGTAGACTCGGTAGATCAACACAGGATTCCATAAATAAGAGATGGCGATGCAGCCTTCTCTTGGCTATGGCAGTGCAAGTGCATTGACATGTTGGAGATGAATTGAAGGGAGGAAAAGAGAAAGAGAGGAAGAGAAACTAGGTACTGCAATGCAAGAGCAGAAACAGAGACGAGGGATTAATCATGATTGTCTTTGTGTGAGATTTATAATTTATTCACATGAATTGTTTATTATACTGCCTGCGTACCATCAATTTCTATATTCGGATCAGTTCTTCCTGTCAGTTACCATTTGTTGTGTGACTGTAGGTTCGATGCGTTTGATGTAACTGTGATTGCGAGAGTAGTGTGTGATCTGTTTTTTGGTCTGGGGACTCCGGGACAGTGAGGGAGGGTGGTTGAGTGTGGTAGAATTTGTTATTGGGTGGGTTATCAGCACAGCAGACAAGCATTGGAATACATATCCTCGATTGTTTGATTATTCGATTATTCGATTGTCTCCTGTCGTCTCTTTGACTTTGATATCTGTTAAATTCTCTGTACCGGCAAACCTCTCTTATCAACATCTCTCGAGCGTGTCTTGTACCTGCTTCCCATATGCACGATATTCCTTCCGGAGTCGAGAGTCCAGATTCCAGATCCATTCGCCTTCCAAATGAAGTCTTTCTATTCGGTCTTTCAATCATCCATACCAAAAGCTACTCACTCTATACGCGATCTAATAATCAATGATCATCGGTAGTTCCACAAACCCTCCAACCAATCTGCATTCCGCAAACCCTCAATTCTATCCGGGCGCTTACATCAAGTCATCTATTAGCCGGAATCCCCCTGTTTTTCACTCACACAACCCATTTCGCCCATCCATCTCATCACCCCACATCCAATCAATGGCCAATGCACCACACCACAACCGTCCATTCTTCCCACATCTGCATACATCCCATCGACAAATCAATCTCACCCATCACTCTCAATATTGAAGACTTCCATCCTCACTATCCCAAACAAAGTATAACTCTCTTTCTCTCCCATGTCTCCCATGCATATCCTCCCTCTTCTCTCACCTCCTTCTCCCATCTCATTGGCCATGCACCATAAACGCCCATGGTAATTCGGCATATGCACGCACCTAGCATCGAATCTGCTCGTCAAGCATTGTCAGCGCGAATTAGACAATGCGGACTGTGATTATTCAAATACTCCTCGAGGGTCCAAAGTGTGGTCCGTCCGGGTGATGATTATTTTTTTGCTCTGCCTCATATTAACACCTTCAAAATCTCTGGACGCACGATTGACATTTCTCAAATTCCTTGGAAAAATATCTCTCATCCATCTAGTGATGTTTTGATAATTACTTGAATCGCATTCATACAGATCGAAAAAGGAAAACGAGTTTGATGTTTGATACTTGAAATTGAATACCTACCTACCTGCATACCTCCCTCCCAAGCTTAAATATCAACCACAATATCATATCCGGAGAACATATATACCACGAACCCATTCGATTTCTCCATAACATCTTCAAATTCTATCATTCGAGCCAGTTTTACACATACCCTTTCTCTTTAAAAGACCACCAATATCACAATGTTTACGACGAGTATATTAACGCTTTTGGCGATCACGACGAGTGTTTTGGTGCAGGCACACACGGTGATTACATATCCGGGCTGGAGAGGTGATAATTTGATTACGAATGAGACGTTTCCTTATGGAATGCAGTGGATGTATCCTTGTGAGTAGACTTTTACTTCATGTATTGGACTTTTGGGGTATGAGTTTGGAATTCGGGGTGCGAGGAGATGTCTTTGGAGAATTGGATTTGAAATGGTTACTTTACTTTCCAAGCTTTCCAAGCTTTCACATATGCATATCCATATGCACATCCATATCCATCTCCATCTTACCTCCGATCTCCTCCAAATCCTCTCTCCCAATCCTCCCTCCCTCCCATCTCTCCCTATCAATTTCACCCTCTAACACTCCCCAGGCGGCGGCATGCGCACCACCACCAACCGCACTCTCTGGCCCATCCACGGCGGCGCCATCGCCGTCCAACCCGGCTGGTTCCAAGGCCACGCGACCGCTTTCTTCTACTTTAATCTCGGATTCGGCACCGATGGTCCCGACAATGGTCCCCCCAATATGTCTTTCCCCATGACCTCCGTCATGCAAATCATCGGCCCGAGTAAAAATCCCTATCCAGGAACCTTCTGTTTGCCACAGGTGCCCTTGCCCGCGAATACAACAGTTAATGTAGGAGATAATGCGACGATTCAGGTTGTGGAGACGGCGGTTCATGGGGCTGCTTTGTATTCTGTATGTTTCATTTTGTTTTTCTCACCTCATATTTCATAACATCATTCCCTCATAACCACCCTCATCACTCCACCCCTCCCCTCCCCAAACCCAAAACCAAAACCAAACCTCCCCAAAACATACCCCTAACACCCCCACCCCAGTGCGTCGACATAACCTTCGCGCTCCCCGAAGACGTCGCCGAAGTAAACAGCTCCAACTGTTTCAACACCTCCGACATCTCCTTCGCAAACGTCTACACCATCAACGATGCCTCGGCCCCGGGAACCTCCTCCAAATCCGCTTCCACATCCGCTGCCACAACTGCTTCTCCTTCCCGCTCGCTCTGGGCTACCAGTCTCGCGAGCGTGTTGGGTGTTGCGATGTGGGGGTTCTTGTGAGATGGGAGATGGGAGAGGGGAAATGGGAGATAAAGAGGAAGATTTTGAAATTCCCATGGAATTTCAAACGAAAGAGATGAAAAGAAAAAGAAAAAGAAGAAGATAATCAACCAGACGAAACCCCACGTAAAGAAAAGCAGGATTGTAGATATGATATGACAGGATAGGATATGACAGGATAAGACATGATACCACGGACAGGCAGGCAGGCAAACCCATCAAACCAAGCAAGCACGCGCACCCAACAAGTCGAGAAAGCGGAAACGGAGATGGAAAAAACGAATTCTCAACCATTGGATCGATCCATGGATAGGAACCGGGAATATGGAAGTATAGTACTCCAGTACCCCAATACGGAGCTACGATGTGTGGATGAGGCTATCAGTCAGGCGTTTTTATGGCGAAGATTATGTATGATCTAGGAGGAAGGAAGGAAAGAATGATTTTTTCTTTAATTTTCATTTTAATTCTCGAGCTTTTTTTTTTCGAGTTTCGAGGTTTCGAGTTTCAATTCTCATCTCAATACAATTATTACAATTACAATCAATACAGTACAATCATGTCCTTCACTCCGCATTAAAGAATATGCATTCATACCATAAAATCTAAGCGCAAGCGCTGTATGTAATCGACATGCTAAAAGCTATTCAGCTTAAAAGAAGAAACTAAAAATCGTCCCCCAGCTATGCGTTAAAATTCTGTATTTCATTTCGTTCATATATTCATTATTTTCGTTCCTGCACCATTCTTCCCCTCCCCCCATTCAATCTATCCCCATCTATCCACTACGCAAGTAACTCTCTAATCTCCTTCCCAACATTCTTCACCCGTGGATCAGCAGCCTTCTTAACACAGCCATCCACCGCGGTCAAAACGCCATAAACATCTTTCCCAGCCTCTCTAATCTCATCTCCCACAGTCAATAGCGTACCTAGGGCAACTAATCCTCTATAAATCACCTCGCTATCAACTTGTGTCTTCAAGATACTCGTAACTGTATCTAAAACTGCAAGAACTTGTTCGAAATCTAGGTCTGTTTCTGTAAACAGAACGGCGTAGTTAATATAAACAGTCGTAGCAGCTACCAATAAATTTCGATTGGTAGAGGATTGAATAGCTGTCTTGATCAAGACATGGACTTTATCAAAATTGTCAGTGGCTAATTGACGACCTTCGGTGGAATCAAAAAGATTAGCAAAACCACGAACGGCCATCATAACGTGATTTTCGGAAGGAGGTGAAGATTCCAGAGCAGCTTGTGAAAAGACATCAATAATGGACGAGCCACCGTTGCTACGGAAAGTTGCGGTTTCAGGTGCAATGGCTAGGAGACGGAGAAGATCGAGTCCAGCGAGTCGGTCTTTATAGGGCCATTGAGTTGAGAGCTTAATTGCTAAATCAAGGCCTCCATTAACAGATTGAGAAGTATTTGTGTCGCCGGTAGACTCGAGATGTTTTCGGAGAGTTTGAAGAACTTCGAGTTCTTCAGGATTGAGGGATACACCCTTTTGACCATCATTAATTAATGCTTTGTTGACTTCTTCAATCTTCTTTTGCATCTTTGGTACTGAGGCCACAATAATCGAGAGATACTCCTTTTGTGGGAGAACCTTGGGTGGTGGTGGAATATTTGCAGGGGCCGAGGACTCCCCCTCGCCGGGTCGGTATCTTTGATCGCTACCCCATGCATCCGGTCCAGAACTTTCTTGAGTTTGGCCAATCGTAGCTCCTTGAGTATTGGTTGTGATAAAATTGGCTACTTGCTCCAAGTAGGTTACTGGGAGTTCATTATTTGCAATGAATTTTGTAGCAGCTTCATATGGGTTCTGAGATAAGTTGTAAGGAAGTTTGAGGGGAGGTTTGCCATCCTCAATATCAACATCAAAGACAAAATCATACTCCTTTCCGAGGTATTCGACTTTCTTTCCACTGCTTCCAACAGCATCAACAACAGTGCCTACATTTATCCACTGACCCTGTGCTAGATAATAATCAGCTCAATGCCCAACATTAAACATTAGAAATGACTTACCACTGGACCAAGTATGTGCAGTAACAGCTCCATTTAATTCACGGATCATTTGAACTTGTCCTTCCTTAGTGCCACTCTTTTGTGTAAGGAATTCTGGTCCAGGAAGCTTCTCCTTATTAACTTCAGGTAACGATTGCTGAGGTATAGATGATTCCTTGACTGAGTCTTCAAATAATGTTGTTGTCTCTGCATCTGCGAAACGCTCCGAATTTTTCGTGAAGACTCGCACCACTCTATCACTTGCACCCGAAACAATGTCTCCATTTTCTCCACAAACCGCTACACCCCAGACCGAAATCGCGGGATGTGTAATTGTTTGAATACATTGACTGTCTTTCCATATTCTCAAAGTTCGATCTTCACCAGAACTGATAATTTCTCCGGAAGGTGTAGAGGCAATAGAATAAATGAAGTTCTCATGTCCATGTAACTCTGCCACCTGCTTGCCAGAGAGAGTCCATAATCTGATTACGCCATCATTACCTGCAGATGCAAAATCTGCCCCGGATGGATGACCTTTGGGTAACCTGCAAAGAGCTCGAACAACATCTGCACTACCTCGAATAGTCCGGAGTAATTTGCCACTGGTGTTAAATACTCTAATGAGCTTATCCGCACAAGCAGTGATGACAGTTTCCGAATCTATGGCAAGAACGGCCCAGACGCTACCCTCATGTCCTCGGAGAACCGATTCACATTCCCATTTTCCTAATGGCCATATTCTTGCTTCCGCATCCCAACTTCCACTGATTATAAATCGTCCCGCTGGATCGACATCCAAAGCACATATGTTATGACTGTGTCCTATAAGTAGCGCTTCCGCATTTTCTTCTGGGCCTTTCGAAGGTTGTCGAACTTCAATGACTGTATCCTTTCCACCTGAGATAACTAAACCGTCTGGAAATTGAGAGCTCGGCGGTAAATATGCGACTGTATTTACGAAAGCTGTTGCATGAGAGGAAATGGTGGCATCGAATATTGGCGGATTATCTGAGAGTTGTTTCCATAATCGGACTGTTCCATCTCTAGAAGCTGAAACTACAGCTTTCGCAGATGGGAAAGCTACAGCTCGAACCTATGTTTGAACGACATGTTCTTAGTATATGTTGTCGTGACCAACATCCAGGTTGACCTTGTTGGAGAGTGGAGTATGGTATCATCAACTTACATCGTCTTCGTGACCAGCCAAAGATGCAGATAATTTGTATTCTGCCATGTTGACTTTATCGCAATTGTGTATTTAGATTTCCAGAAATTGACGGGATTACAAAGAGAGAGAGTGAGAGGGTGAGAGGGTGAGAGAGTATGAAAGGTTGGTGTTATGTTTTGGGGAATAATGGAAGTTGATTATAGTTACAGTTCCATGTTTGACTATAAGCTTCCTTAAAGTTGCCCCTCTATAGTAGGTAGGTAGGTACCTAAGCAATATATGGGTATGGGCTATATGGGCGGGCACACGGGTAATAGCATTGGTAAGGGAGCTACTGAGCTACTATTATGTACTGTATGGCGCATGAACAACTAATAAACCCTGTAAGACTTGCCTACATAGTAGTAGTTGGTTCACTCATCACTCAAGTCGGTCACTACACAACACCAATCAATTATATCGATAATTACCTACTGGTGAACCTATAACTTCACTTATTCATAATCACATCAATATCCAATAACTGCATTTCCTACTCCCCCTTCCCCCAAAGCGGATTATCTATCTTGATTAGTCATTCGGAGTCGGATTAACTGCCTCCGTCTTGTTTCAAGGTAGAGCCTAAGATATTAGTGCAATCAAGGTAATCCATTGGTAGTAGCTTAATTCTTGACCTCAATGAAACAAAATCATAATATCCCCGAACGGAGTTCTTTTTGCTTCTTTCCCCTTTCCTTTTCACATTGAGGAAGTTGTCAAGCATCTCCAGCTATCTCAATTCCATTCAAGGCAGCTTCATCCATCCATTCTACCTCTTAATCAATATCTTACGAATTTAACGACGTTTAACGAATCTTCTTGAATAACACACTCTCTCTCTTCTACATATATTAGAGCAGTCTACCATCATCATAGTGCGGTCACTCCCACTCCTTCGCCGCAAAGTATACATCAACCCGCGACTACAAGAATCGATCTTCTTTCCCTTAAAAACGATCATAAAATACAATACAGCTTCCAATTTTTGATCCAAAATCAAACATTTCATACTTGAATTCAAACATACAACGATGGCGGGGCCAGAGAACACTAAGCAATACGTTCCTTTGACATGCCATGGTCACTCAAGACCTGTCACGCACATCAGCTTCTGTGGATTTGTGGACGGAAAGGATGATGAGTATTACATGATATCAGCATGTAAAGGTATGGCAGATTGGATTGTCCGAATTGTTTCGAATATGGAAATGTCTAATTCAATTTGCCAGACAACAACCCTATGTTAAGAAGTGGTATCAACGGCGATTGGTATGTTACCGCTCGAGCTTCTGTTCCCGGACGATGTTGATTGATGAATTTAGGATTGGTACTTTCTTTGGACACAAAGGCGCAGTTTATCAAGCTAGACTTTCTCCGGATGCTAAATATGCTGCGACTGCTTCAGCAGATTTCACTGCGTACGTCCCTCGCTCCATTGGGTGACCATCTCTAATAATTGCATAGAAAAGTTTGGGATACATATACCGGAGAAACCCTTTCTACTATCCAGCATCAGCATGTCGTTCGAGCTGTCGCATTCCCTCCGGATTCCGGTACCACTCTTGCGACGGGAGGAACTGACAAGAAACTTTTTATTTTTGACCTCACGAAACTCAATTCTACAGGTGCAAATGGCGCAAGCTCTAATGGTAATGGAAGCGACACTACAAACATTTCCCAAGATGATGGCTTCGAGATTGGACCGGGTGTTCACAAAGGAACAATCAAGGCCGTTGTTTGGACTCGGGATCCAAATATCATAGTGACGGCAGCAGATGATAAAGTGATAAGATGGTGGGATTTACGCTCGCAGTCTGTTGTCCAAGAACAAAAAGTTGATGGCGATATCGGTTCATGCGAATTTAGCAACATTGCATCTGGACCAGGAGATATTGGTGAAGGATTACCTATTCTGTCAATTGCTGCAGGAAAAACTTTGTATTTCTATGGTGGACCAGCTGCAAACACTCTTATCAAGAAGGTTGTCTTGAACTATGAGGTTGCTAGTGTAGCCATTCATCCACTTCAGAGGAAATATATTACTGGTGGAATTAAG